AGTCCTATTGAAATAACTCTACAATTAAATTTCCAGGGGTTGGGGGGGGGGGCAATCTCCCTACACACTCCCTGTCCCTGAAATGACAATTGATCTTAATTGTGACTCCCAAATAGTAAAATATTTTTTTTCCATTTGACTACATTTTTGTTTCTTAATTGTTTCTTATTATTATGTCTGTCTGTTTGCTTGTCTGCAGAAACTTTGACCTTGTCCATAAGTTTAAAGTGGGTTGCACTATAATGATATATACAATGGTTTCCACATTTCATAGGTAAATTCCTTGTGACAAGACTTTTTATTTGGGAACCGCCAACTTTGACTTTTTGATCTCTTGACCTTGGAGTTTGACCCACTTTTAAAAAAAAAATTCCGAACATTAACCATAGCCGTATCTTTTAAAGAGTTGGTGCTAGGGCTTTCATGCTTAACATACATGTGTATTCATTGTGAACTTTCAACAAGTATAAATATTTTTGACCTTGACACTAGAGTTTGGCCCACTTAAATCAAACTTTAACCTTGGCAATAACTTTTGAATAGGAAGTACTAGGGATTTCTCATTTCACATGTGTATTCCTTATGACAATTAAGACTTTCCTTTTGATACCAACAATTTTAAACCATTGACCATGGAGTTTGACTTACATTTGAGAAACTGGCATCAGTGTTTCACAAACAAATCTTGTCTTAATTATTTTTAAGTGGCTGTGTCTCTATATGAGTGAAAAAACGAACAAACAAAGAAAAGTATACATGTACATGTTTTTTATTCAACATATACATCTGGTCTCCCTTGAATCATAAATGATGATGCAACTATTTTAAAAAATTATTATCATAAGAGTTGAAAAGTTTGCATGTGCATCTTAAAATTGACAGAGTTCTGTGTTTGAATTAAATTAGGTATAGCAGTTTAACTTTACTTTGCTACTCGAAGCACCTCAATTTAATATTTTCAATCATACTGGTTTCTGAAATGTACAGTTTTTTCAACAATAAAGACATGTCATATATTTTCAGCTTCTCAAAAAAAAAAAATATATGGAAAAAAAAACTCAGTTGTAGTCAGTCTGTATGTGACAAAAAAATTAATCTTGGTCATCATAAGTCTTTTGAATGAGAAGAGCCAGGACTCTCATAATCTATTAAACATGTATGTGTATTTGAATGTATTTACCTGTGACAATACCATTTTAAATATACCATGCTTTTTAAAATAATTTTTCACCTGTGACCTTGAAGTTTGACCTACTTTCAAAAAATTTAATTGTTTTAAATCAATCATTTTGAAAGAGAAAAGATCGGGCATTAATATTATACATTCATGTATATATTCATTAGGGCCCCCCTTGGCGGGCGCCCTATAGTGATCAGTCTGTCCGTCCATCCAAGATCTCTTGTTTGGAGCATATCTTCTCTTTCCTTGGCCCAATCTGGCTCAAACATTACCCCTTGGGTAACCAATGTGCAGTGACCTTAAACCATGTTTCTAGGTCAAAGGTCAAGGTCATAGCAGAATGGTATGAAATGGTATGAAAACTCCTTGTCCAAAGCATATCTTTTCTCCCCTTAACCCTATCTGGCTCATACTTCACCCACAGAGTGCCCTTGGGTTACAATGTGCAGTGACCTTGAACCATGTTTCTAGGTTAAAGGTCAAGGTCATAGCAAAAATTATATGAAAAATCCTTGTCTGGAGCATATCTTCTCTCCCTTGGCCCAATCTGGCTAATACTTTACCAACAGAGTGCCATTGGGTAAAGGATGTGCAGTGACCTTGTTTAATATTTCTAGGTCAAAGGTTAAAGTTATAGTAGAACTATCCATGAAAAATCTTTGTTTGGAGCATATCTCTGCCCTTTGTCCAACAAGGTTCGTATTAATATCACAGTGCCTTTGGATGAAGGGTGTGCAATGATCTTGAACCTTGTTAAAGGTCTAAGGATAAGGTACGTATCTCATAGCAGAATAAAATCATTATTATATGAAAAGTCCTTGTTCTGAGCATATCTTCTCTCCCTTTTGTTTAGTGTGGCTCATACTTTGGGTGAAGAGTTTGCAGTGACCTTGAACCATGTTAAAGGTCCAAGGATAAGGTCATAGCAGAATCATCATTATTAAATGAAAAGTCCTTGTCCAGAGCATATCTTAATCTCTCCCCTTTGTCCATTTTGGCTCATACTTCACTCACAGAGTATCTGAGTATCAGTGGTAAATTGATTTGCAGTGCCCTTGAATAAAATTTCTATGTCAAGGGTCAAGGTCAAAAATAGCTTTATGTTTAAAATCTTTGTTCGGTACATAATTTTTTCCCTCAAGTCCAATCAGCCTCAAACAAATTGACTGGGTATGCGATTTTTCTACCATATTGTGATAGAGGATATGCAACAATATTCATAGAGGATACATTTCTAAAAGTTTTTTAATTGTATTGTATTGCATAAATCAATAAATATAGATCTCAGGTTAGTTTGCTTAATTAAAAGAAAATTAAAAAGATGAAGGTCCATAAAAGCAAGTAAAAATTTTGTGTCTGTGTATTTACATTTATAAATGACATATAGATATTATAGACAGAGTGCAATTAGTGTTAATTTCCATAAATAATGTATATTAAATGCTTTGTATGCACAATAACACTATAATAAACAAATATACACTGAACCAAACTTCTAAGTGTTCACCTAACATTTTTTTAGTTTTAAAGAACAAATGCATACAATAAATAATTTCTTTAATTCATGGTTAATGATGCATATTTCAGTTCGATGTTACGTAAATTTCATGTAAGTATCTCGTCGGAATTTTAAGCAAAGTGTTAAGGTAATGACATACACTCAAAATGAAAATTCACACAAAATAATCTCTATGGAGTAAGACCACCACTTGCTCTAATAATGGCATGACATCCTTTACTATTGGACACCATGTACCCCTGAATAGGAGATTGACACCTCTGCTGCCACACCTACTGCATAGATCTTTGCAAACCATTGAAATTTTGTGGAGGGGGGGGGGCTTTGATATTCCTTTTAAAAATCCCAAATGTGTTCAATGGGATTCAGATCTGGGAATTTGACATTGCATCATCACACAGATGCCTTTTGGACAATATCCTTGCGCGTTTAGCACGCAAGTGCACCGCTTTAAGCATGATTCAGACTGCTTGAGCTGATATTTGACTGTCACGAACACCGATTTCTTATCATTTTCATACGATTGAAATTGTTTGTTTTCATGTTTCTAAGATTGTTTCAGGACAATTAAACACTCATTTAACCTGGTGTGACGCGAAATTTTGACCTCAGACGAAAATCAAGGTCACTTCCGGTTTGGTTAAATTTTGTCCAAAACTTTCAAATTGTTATAAATTGGCGATGAAAAATGACGCACAGCCTATTGAAAAATGTGTTTTAATGGATTTTGATACGTGTTTTTAATTTTTAAAAGTAATATCAAGGACAATTAAGCACTAAAATAAAAGTAAGTAAAAGTGGTGTAATGATCGTCCAGATATCAACATTCCAATGGCTCTCCCTTCTATCTCAATGGTCATTTTTCCAATGTTTTGTGTTTTTTAGTGAAACCAGTTTTTAGAATTTGAGAATGATCACAAAAAGATGCTTATTACACAGAACACGTGCCGCAAAGTACAGATTTATTGTTTTTCAAGCTTCGTCACGGAACATTAGTTTTCATCGGTGATAGTTTATTTTCTTTCTACAATTGTTGAGAAGACTCATTTGTTGTAATAATATGAAAATATCATACAATTCTATAAAGTAGTTTTTAAATGAAAACATTTATTAAAGTGAACACTTAGAAGTTTTGTTAAGTGTATACTTGCTAAATCATTTTCAATCACCCAAAAAGATTTTATATCAACAGACAAGTGAGAATCAGAATTTTATATTGAATGTGTAAAATTAGAACCGGATCCGTAAAAGTGTGGGCCTTCCTTAATATAAGGAGCAAGTAATGAACTCTAGCATGTCTATAGTATACGCGTTTTGTAGTAAATTATTTGCAGAATTAAGTGTTTTAGTTTTGCTTCCTTTCCCCCTTAATTCTTTAAGATAATGCGCAATCAAATGATTAAGTTTCGTATGGTAAAAAGAGTAATTCTGTAATTGAGATTTAGATTTGTCATTGGAAGTCTTAAAAGGCAGCTGAAAATTTCTTTGTGAAAATCACAGTAATGAATAAAGATACATGTAATTAAGATAAGAAAAAAAAATGCCAAAACACTTTTAAATACAGAAGTGAATAAAAAAAAGCAATGTTTGATACTGTTTTCTTGTATGAATGACTCATCTGCTATGTTCAAAACATGTACGTACTAGTTTGGACTCTTCAGCTTTTCAAAGATTTTAATTGTCACCAAGTATAACGAAAAACATTGACAGTAAGCAAATCATTGTCTTTGTTCATGTTCTTTGTTTATATAATTTACCACAAACAAATATATGTAATATTTCTACTTCAATGACCCTTATAACATAATTATATATGCTTTCATCTTTGTCCATGTTGGTGACTTGACTTTTAATAAAAATGAATCTTTCTTGTGCAACTAAAATATATACTTGTATCAGACATGTCAGAAGCATGAAAACCATTTCTTTATAATACATCCCAATTGTAATAATATCTTTTGAAACTCAAATTAAATGATCGATGTACAAAATAAGTAATTTTTTAGCAAGATTTTGTTTGAAACCTCCTCCGTGATCTTTTCATGTACCGGTATATGATTGAACAACAGACTGCAGTTCAGAATGATATTGAAAAAAAATCTCATATCAGACAATTTTCTCCCCTCAAGACCTAATTTTATACGTTTTAAATGATTAAAAAAATTGTTTTGATCTGAATTATTGTTTTGAAAATTATATTAAACATCGATGCTTTGTAAAACTGTCAAATGTTTTGAAAATACAGAAATCACGAATTTCCCGATTAGCTGTTATTTACTTTGTTTTGAAATGCACTATTACAGCGTCATGATAGCTGTAATACACTGGCATGATTTCTATACGAACTTCCATTTCTTTTGTGATATATACATGATCCAGTATAGTATCACCGTCTGTTGTAGCAAGGTTTACTTTCTGCTTGAAACCGTTAATCTCCAACATCTTTTGAATCGGTCCTTCCAATGTAGCGTCTTCATTGAAGTCTCCAAGTATTAGGCATTTAGAATATTGTACTTTAAAGAAATCAATAACCCTTTGAAAGTGTTGAAGAAAACATCTGACACTGAGTACACTTGGTCGATACACAACAATCATAATAGTCTTTTCCTTGCAAAGTTCCACGGCCATTCCCTCAATATTATTTTCGGACAAAACATGAACTAATGCCTTTTCCTTTCTTTTCTTGTAAATACCAACACCCCCACCTTTTGCTGTGCGAAGTTTATCCAAACATTCCACACTTTCATCATAAGACTGCTCCCTTGTAGTGTGATTGAATTCGAAGTCTTTGATTGCAAAGGCTTTAGTACAGTCATTGTCTGTCAACCATGTTTCTGTTACACATATAAAGTTTGCATGAAGAAATCTGGTATCACTTTTTAGGTCTTGAACATGTCCTCTTAAACTCTGCACATTAAGTAAGGCAATAGTTTTGAATTTTTCAATTTCTGTGGAGATATTTGGGAAATTGTGTTCGGTGATTAATTTTTCCATCTTACTCAGTGCTGATTTCACATCTGGATTGGCGTAAATTTTTTTCTCCAGTGCATTTTCATCTTCTGTTTCTATAAATAAACCATTCTGGGAAGTGACACGACTAATAGCAACATATGCCTGTCCTGCAGCGAAAGTACGATCTAAATTTACTACAACACTGTTTGTTGTCATTCCTTGAACTTTATGCGCTGTGCATGCCCATGCGAGTTTCAAAGGAAATTGATGTCTGACAACACTCTTTGTATTTTTCTCTTTGATATCTTCTTGTATCCTTTGAATAAGGACTTCATTTCCACGTGTTGTTCCTTTTCCCTGCAGTCTCCCAATGTCTTTACAATCAAACATTACTCTAATGCTATCTACCCTGTTTCTTTGCTCAGCTTTTCCAAAATCGATAGCTGAAATATGTCCCATTGCACCATTTACAAGGCCATCTTCAACATTGATATTTCTCGTCAACATCACTCTAGCATTCACAGACAACAGCAAAGAAGCTGATAAGCCATCTGTTCTTGTTCTAATGAATGGTTTCTCACGTAAGGTAAGCTTTCCTGTAGTTTTGTCTTTCTGATAATCTTCTGCAGTAATCTCCATCAGTTCTTCACAGTTAGTATGCAACATCTTCAGATTATATTCATTTGCTTCATTATTTGTAGGATACACATGCAAAACGTCATCTGGTCCATCTCTAATACATTCTTTCAACATTGTTTTCGCCTCTTCTGATAGAGGTTCTGTGATCGTTCGAATTCGTAGTGAATTTAAAACTGATGCAAATGCAGCATCGTCTCGTTGTCTCATTATTTCGTCCAACTCAATGATTTTGAAAAAGTCTAACCAGTAGTCTACTGGATATTCCCCATTTTCTTTGTACAATATTTCTAGTTTTCGTTGTTTCACTGGTGGTAGTTGAAAGAAATCACCAACAGCTATAACCGTAATACCACCAAATGGTTCTTTGCATTTTCTGATTTGGACCAAGCGTTCGTGTATATAATATAGAAGTCGCTTAAAAACCATGGAAACTTCATCAATAATAAGAATCTGCAATGATCCTAATCTTGTTCTCATTGCACTCAAACTTTGTTCTTTCAGAGGTTCATATGGAATGGGAAGAGCTTTTGTTAAAGAAAAGACATGGTGAATTGTATTTCCCCCAATATTAAAAGCTGCTGTTCCAGTAAAAGCTGTTAGAAGAACTGACAAATCTGTAGGAGACAGAACTGTTTTCTCAAAAATTCGAGAGGCTTCATACTGTATGGTCTTGATTAAGTGGCTTTTACCTGTTCCTGCACCTCCAGTAATGAAAATATGTAATGGTTCTATTTTCTTCCCACCTACTTTTTTCAAACACCACTCACGAACTAAATAGAAAACTTGTTTTTGTTTTTCATTCAAACTTCTTAATAAAGGAAGCATTTCTTGTCTTGAGCTAGAATACTCTCTTATATGGTATATAAATTCTGAGGAGCCATCATTTTCAATTTCATTAGTTATCTCTGGTTCTTTGTTTTCAGACTGCTCAATTCTTCTCTTTTGGTTAAGACATTCTTCTCGATTTCTTTCAGTCTCCGGACAAAGATTGGCCCAAGCATCCTCAGGTTCACCACAAAGTTCTAACATTTCTTGGGCATTTTCAAGGGCATCCTCATTCTTTGAGAAACTACTGCGGTTATTTTCCACCACATTCCGCACTGATTGCAATTTGTTTTCACCATTCAATTTGACAAATCCATTTTCAAAAAACGTCTGGTAAAACTCAAATCCAGGTGGTTTCAGTTGATCTTGGGTCAAATATGGAAGGAAAAGCTGAAGTATTGATTGATAATATTTTTCTGATGCATTTTCAGGGTTGAACCTTGGATATCTTATAACAGCTGGTTTACCTCTAGTTCTTTTCTGCACGTAACCATTTCCATTTTTCAATTCATACACTCCTTCTTTTTCTCCCTGAGGAATTTGAGATTTTGCCAAAACACGGAATTCAGAGCAAAATTCTGCAAGGCACATTTCGGGAAAAGGGTGTACATCAGGTCGACTTTCATACCTTTCCACTATATTTGTCATCCAAATGCTGTCATCATCTTCTTCCATTTCATTTTCATTCTTTGACGTTTTTTTCATTTGTGCTAGAGGTTTACTCAAACGAGTCGGATTTTCACCCACAGGAACAAAAACTACTTTTCTTGAACTTTCTTTCATTTTTAGATTGCAAACTCTGTATACCGATTCCTGGGCACTGACCTCTCTATGGTTGAGATATGCTGATCCAATTTTCCTTATTGTTTGTCGAGCATTCAAATTTCCCTCTGCGGATTCTACTTGAGTTTGTTTCAACAACATTCCCATTTCCCGTTCCGATTTTGAAATGTACGAAATAATGTACACAATGCAGCTAAATGGGTCAAGGATGTACTGTATATCCATATTAGCATCCCAGCATTTGAGAAGACATGTGTTGTATTGATTTGTCCACATTTCATCTGGATTTCGTTTTAAGATAGTACTTGTTTTTGTAGATAATGCTCTATGTGCCATTTCATAAACATCTTGTGATAATTGCAAATCTCTGAAAATTTCCTCAGTTGTTTTGCATCCATTCACATCATCAAGAACTTCATTCCAAACACGCAATAAAATATCTTTTGCCTGAGATTTACATAATTTTCCGTCAGTCTCAGAGTCCTCAACATCTTCCTCACACTGCTTTGTTATGAAAGTTCTTTCTGATGGTGGTCTTGGAAAGTGGAACCTACATTCTGTTCCCTTTTTCCTACATGATTTTGAATGATTCTTGCTATGTTGCTGAACACCTAAAACAATTCCCCGCAATTCTGCGTCATCATTTTCTGAGGGTAGAGCACATGTGATATATCTATCAATGAAATCACAAACAGTTTCTTCCTCATCTTCACCAAATTTTGGTGCATTTTCAACCCAGTACAAACAGTGCATGTGCGGGGAGCCTCTTTGTTGAAATTCTACTCTCACAAAAAAGTCAATAACATTCCCTATTGGTTTTGATGGTGAAAATATGACATGCCTTTGAAACATATGAAATCTATGTTCAAACATTCTAGCCACAGTAACTGGATTGCTTCTTAAAACTTCACTTTTTTCTGACCAGTCCAATTCAGATGGGGATCTAGGATCATTCTCATGATGCAATATTGATCCAATAATTTCATCCCACCGAAACTCTGCAGCAGAAAATGAACAAAACCATGTTGGGATGCCTAACTGTCGAAGCATAGCAAAAAGATCTTTCTGGGTTGCTGACCAATATGCTGGAGTCCCACGAATAGGTTGCATAAAGCGCAAAGCCTCATCATTCCTTAGGAGTTTCGAAAGAACATCTGGATTTTGCAGCATTTCAGATGTAACTGTTTTCCCATTATCAAGCTTTGATAGAGACTTCCGTATTGAAATTTGTGTCTTTTCAATTACTTGGTTCAATTCTGACATGTATTGAGAGAAAAATATGTAATTTGTGTCTTTTGCAAATCTGTTATCAGAATTCATCAGTCTGTTGTTTAAATACCTTGAAAGTGTTATCTTCACATCTCGGTCTTCATTCCAAGAAAAGTTGCCACTTGGAAATAAATGTGGAAAGGTCTTTGCTTCATTTCCTTCTTCCTGCAACATTCTGATTGGATTTTTCCCTTCCGCTGGGGCTATATTGTAGACATCATCAAAGTAATGATCAAGAACTTCCTGTGCAACATCCACGGGCTGTAAACATGTATCAGTTACAACCTCTTGATTCTCTTCTCTATCTTCTCTCTGTATCATTTCCTCATCTACAAATTCAGTGAACTCATTCGATAACAAATCATTTTCATCACCATAGCCCTCCCATGTGGTATTGATCATAATGTCTTGGTACCATTTGTTCTTTTTCTTTAAATAGTCAAGAGCCACCATTATGTGATTTGGATCAACAAACTGGTATTCAAAATAGCCCTTGTAAGCTAACTTACGTTTCAGCTTAACTCTTAATAACAAATTGTCATTCTCATTTCGGGGTAAACTTGTCGCCTTTTTCATATTTGATGGCACACAAACAACGGGTCCATGTACATTCTTTTGACCACCTTGTGGAAGAGCCATCACTTTCATAAATGGAATATGTAAGGCAATCAGGTGTTGTTCTAAACTGTTTAAATTCCTCAATTCACTTGGAATTTCTTCTAGCGACATCTTATTTGCTGCTGCCTCTGCCGGTATTTTGCCATTCAATATTTTCCTATGACAAGTAAAACATATCCACATTGATGACTGTGGGCAAGGCTTCGGGCATGTCAATGTACAATCGTGAATATATTTCTTCTGTACGCATGTCTGTGCAATTTTATTTGCTTGTTGTCTTTCTACATACATTTCAAATGCACATCCTTGGACTTGATGTTCAAACAATAAACGATCACAACAGCAACAAGAGTACTCTGGACCATTTTTTACACTTTCTTTAAACATTTTCAAAACTTCATCTTCATCTTCCAGCTTCAATTTCAGTGCATATCTCTGATTCTGAACATTCTCTTTTTTCTTCTTTTTCTCATCAGCACTAAGATACTTTCTTTTACTAGCCATTTTTACCAAATTTCTATGTTCATCATCTTTTTGGTACTTCTCTATACTCCTTTGTTTAACATTCATTCTGTGCACGTCATCATTCTTGTACTTCTCTGTACTCCTTTGTTTAACATCTGTTCTATGCACATCATCATTCTTGTATTTCTCTACACTCCTTTGTTTAACATCTGTTCTGTGCACATCATCATTCTTGTATTTCTCTACACTCCTTTGTTTAACATCTATTCTGTGGACATCATCAGTCTTGTATTTCTCTACACTCCTTAGTTTGACATCTATTCTATGCACATCATCATTCTTGTATTTCTCTACACTCCTTTGTTTAACAACTTCTCTGTGCTCTATATCTGAACTATATTTCTCAATGCTTCTTTTCTTTTTGCTTTGTCTGTACACATTGTCTGTTATATATTTTCTTTTGCTGGATTCCTTGACTTTTAACTTGTGTTCTGCATCCAAAGAGTATTTGTCCACACTCCTCTGTTTTACTTTTGTTTGGTAAAGTTCATTGCTTCTATACCTATTTATCCCATTTGCTAGTGCCTTTAATCTAAATTTCAGGTCTGTTTTGTACTTAAGTTTTGCAGCTTTCGATTTCATTTCCTTGTTATTTGCATTCTTTTTTGGAGATAAAGTGAAACGCTTGGCCCTCATGCGGTTCCGATTTCCAAGTTTTTTTCTGTACCAGTCCTTGCCAAGAAATTGAGATTTATCGGATGTTGTCATGAACCTTTCCGTTTCTTTTCCAGCAACCCTAACCACTACATTATAATGATTCTGATTTTCATGATCTAAATAGATTGACCCTGTGGATTGAACATTTGTCGAAGGATCAATCAGTTGTCTTGAATATGTAACCCACTTTTTCTCTGTATATGTATGTACATCAGTTTGCAACAGATGACAGAGTGCAAGAATTTCTATTTCAGTTGTCCATGAACCAACGTTACACATATCTGTAACAGACAAGTGATTTTCTACAGTACATTCTGCACATCTTACAAAAGGTTCAAACAATGTTCTATTGTGCATTAGATGCTGACATACTGCTAATCGTATTGGGTAATGATAATCCTCCACACCAGTCAAACAAAATGAAATAGCCCTAAAGAAACAATTTCCATCCCCTGTAATTTCAACACACTCAACAGGTGCTCCTATTTCTTGCATATGGTGATTCTCTTCATCATAATCAATTCTATTTGAGTGTGGTATTCCCATAACCTGACATAGCTGTACTTTCATACTGTGAGAAAGTGGCAAATAACTAATATCATGACTTTCACTGCAAATATATTCAACATCATCATCTGCAACTGACTGAAGACTTGCAGTTAAAATGTTTGTGTTTTCTTGAAAGATTTTTGTCGAGTCTGTATCTGGCTGTGCAACTTCCTTTTGCTTAATTTCAACATCAAATTGATCAGTAGATACAAAGTGCCTAATTGAACAATCAACACCTGTTACTTCACATTCAGTGGTACCAGAAAAACCCATTGACAATGCTAATGATAATATGTGATTATAAATATCATCAACAGATTGATAAAGTATCCTTGTACTCTTTCCATTTAAACTCACATATCCTAATGACGATCTTGAGTGTGAATCAAATGTAAAGTAACCATCTTCTGTTTTCCCAACCAAAAACGTATTTCCTCTGAAACATACAAAACATCCACTTGTTTCTCCAAGGGCAATTTGCAATGCATTTGAAAGGGAATATGCATTAAATTCATCTAAGTTTGGCTCTACATCAGACAAATTTATCAGGCTGCATAAAGGTTCATGAACTTTGAACTCAAATGGTGTATTGAAACATTCTAAAAACTGGGGCAACTCATCAACTAAAAGGTATCTACTAACAATAGTTGAACTACGCTGCAAATATGTATAAAGTTCATCACCTGTTGCTAACACTTTATTCATATCTGAAGTTGTCCATTGTTTCACATTCTTTAGTTTATGGTATGCCAATGCTGCCAAGGAGTTTGCTACACACTGTGTTCCTGCATTTTCACCAAACATTAAGTCACCTTGATGAAAAGAACCTTGAACAGAAACCTCAAACATTGTTACTGGTCCATCATCACTCATACATGCACATTCAACATCATCTTGTCCATCAGTACATGATTTCTCCATTCTACATTCTGATTTCTCCATTCTACATTCTGATTTCTCCATTCTACATTCTGACTTCTCAATTCTACATTCTGATTTCTCCATTCTACATTCTGACTTCTCAATTCTACATTCTGATTTCTCCATTCTACATTCTGATTTCTCCATTCTACATTCTGATTTATTGTTCTCATTTCTATTGTCTATATTCTCAATTTGTTCATATAAATTCGTTTCAGTTCTCTGTTTAATATCCGTTTTAATATCCGTTTCAAAATCCGTTTCAAAATCCATTGCATCATTTTGTATCCTGCTGGACTCATCCCCCTGAGAGGATGACATATCCAGCTGCGCCTGACCTGCTGAGCCAGACACGTGCACGGTGTCCGGCTCAGGTACCCTCGGTGAGGTACAAACCCACGGTGGGGAGTCAGGGGACGGTGCCATGCCTCCGTTTCGGGCACACAGACGACTTCCCTGAGAAGATGCGTTACTCAGGGCAGTTGGTTGCATTTTCTCACGAGGAGAGGCCTGCAACCTGGCCAAGGGTTTTTCCTCAAAAGGAGGCAACCCTATAGAGCCTTGACCCGGAAAATGACCGGGTGGAACTGACACAGTTCCATCTACCATCCCGCAAGGAATGGCAGAGTCTGGTGGTGCATCATCAGTAGAAGCATCTGCTGAGGGGAGTGACTGCTCCTGCCTCTTCTTTCTCTTATACAATTTCTCTTTGAGTCTTTTTTCTCTACCACACAAGCTCTTTTTTCTCCGCATCTAAAAAATTAAGAATATAAATTCTACAATGATAAATCTTGCATCGTATTCAAAAGCACATTTGTCCCCATCCAACAGTTGTTTCTTATCTCCATCACGAAAGAGTTCCACTTAGTTAAATAATTGATATCTAGTATTATCTTATACAGTTTATGTTGCAAGAAAATTATGCAAACTTTGATTCTAAGATTTCGATGAATTTTCCATTCCTTAAAATATTTGTTTATCCATCCCCTGTTGTGTAAGGATTATCGATAGATTTCTACACTGGTTGTGCTAGGCCTTGTCAAATGCCTATCATATTAAACAATATCAAATTAGTCTTAACAACTTAATTTTATACCAAATTAATTTTGAAATAAAACGCTGGCCATCAAATGACATATGATCCCTTACCCCCATAAAATTAGTTTTTAAATTAATACAGACTTATTCAGTCTAATTAAAACAGGCTAGCCAACAAGAGCTATTTTTAATCCAAGACGATGACATTTGCACAATTCCCAAGAGATAACAAGATGTGTTTGTGAAACACTATGCGCCCGGCTGCAACAAAGCTACAAAAAAAATATTTTTAGCATAGAGGTCACAGTAAATGTCACAAGGTCATTGATATTAATGTTATTTGAAAGAACTTTAGTAGTGGAGTATGGATACCAAATATGAATTCAAAATTTATGGCAAAAGTTCGAAAATAGCTATTTTTAGCATTAAGGTCACAGTCAATGTCACAAGATCAATTATTTGGAGTCATTTGTATAAGCTTTATACATAAAATATGCATACCAAATATCAAGTCTATATCTCCTATGCTTCAAAAGTTGTGGCAAAAGTTTGAAAAAGCTATTTTTAGCATGTAGGTCACAGTCAAGGTCACAAGGTCATTGACCTTGGTGTCTTTTGAAAGAACTTTATTAGTGGAGTATGCATACCAAATATGAAGTCTATATCTCAAGGTTCAAAAGTTTTGGCGAAGGTTAAAGTTTTCAGCAGACTGACAGACAAACAGACAGAATAAAAACAATATACGCCTCGGATCTATTGATCCGGGCACATAAAAATAACACAGCTTGATCAGAGATGCTCTACCAGTTAGCTCCTTACACTGAAGGCATTAATTTGTCTTTAATTTGACATTCATTTTTAAGTTATAAAAATCCTTCTTGACCTGAGTGCTTGATAAATACACTCACGGGAGAAGTGGAATTTTTCCAACATACATTATATTTGTTATAGACTGCTGTCAAGTATGGTATATGCTGAAAAAATTAAGTATTTCTTGATACAACACTTTTTTAATAACAATAGTTCAGTACTCTTACATTTTTTGGGGATGTGTAAATGAATAGCAAAAAGACACTTTCCTTTTTTGATTTACTTAAATTAAAGGACACAATGAACTTGAAATAGGTTACAGCAAACCTTCTCTCGAAGATGCATAATATTAATTGGCCAAGTTTGACGATTGTAAGTCGAATAGTTTCTAGTCATAAGTCGGAAAGGATTTCTTCATATTTATCTATAACTTCTTAATTATGGGTCAGAGTGACCTTCTTTTTGTGTACGACACACCTTCTACCCAGGATGTATAAGCTGACAAATTTTGATAACTCTAGGCCTAATAGTATTTAAGTTATGAGCCGGACAGGAGAAAATCTAATAGATGAACAGATGGACGGACATGAAGCCTATAACATAATACGTCCCATCTTAAGATGGGTGTATAGAAACTGATGCATTATGATAAAAATTATGTATCTTAGTGTAGTCTACTTGTGTGCCAAGTTATATTGAAATCAGACCAAAATTGTAGGAGGAGTAGCATTTTGAAAAATTGTTTACAGACAGACAGCTAGACTGACAAACGGACCCCTTATTATCACATAAGCTCTTTGATTTCTGACCATTAGAGCTAAAAATTTATGCTGTCCTCTGTGGCTAAATATCTATCAGTATATGAAGTTTTATAAAAATATTTTGAATAGTTTCCTTTAAACTGTGCTTTGAACTGAGCTAAACACAAAGTGCAATTGTAGGACAGATGGAACAACGGAAGGCGGACACGACAAGCGCTATATGCCCTGGCTATATTCATGTGGGGCATAAAAAACTAAAAATTAAGATTTTAACTTAAAAGGAACAAGATGTGTTTGTGCAACATTATGCGCCCGGCAGCAACAAAGTTCAAAAAAAGCTATTTTTAGCATATAGATCATGGTTAAGGTCACAAGGTCATTGACTTTGGTGTCATTTGTAAGAACTTTATTAGTGGAGTTTGCATACCAAATATGAACTCCCAATCTCCTATGGTTCAAAAGTTATGGTAAAAAGTCGAAAAAGCTATTTTTAGCATATAGGTCACAGTCAAGGTCACAAGGTCATTGAGCTTGATGTCATTTGAGAGAACTTTATAAGTGCAGTATGCATACCAAATATGAAATCTTTAACTCTTATGGTTCGTAAGTTATGGTGAAGGTTAAAGTTGACAACAGACAGACAGACAAACAGATAAACAGACAGGACAAAAACAATATACGCCCTGGATCTGTCGATCCGGGCACATAAAAACTATGCTTGCGTATTTAACATGTATAAAATTCTATTTCTTTGAATTTTTAAAAAATTTTTTTACACAAGTCCTGTACTGACAAACATTAAAAAAATACAGTAAAATCCAAAGCATGCTAGCCAAGAAGCAGGGATCAGCCATTTGTATTTAATGAAGTGGTTGCAAGTGTTAATTTGTTGTACAAGGAGTTTTAACCCACTTAAACAACTTGACAATTGTTGATTCAAGTCAGCTTCAATTGTCAAGAAATTGGGAAACTACTACGCATTAATACTATTTCAAGATGAGTTTGCTCCTGAGAATTTGGTTTTATGAGTGTACAACAATTTTTAAGTCAAGCTTTAAGGTCAAAGTCACAGGGTCAAGTGCTAATGAGATATAATGTACTTGTCAAACATAAAAATTAATTTTGTAAACTTTTCACATTTTTGACTTCTTCTCAAGAACAACTAGGCCAATTTTAACCAAACTTGGTACAAACCATTCTTGGATAAAGGGGAATTTAAATTGTTAAAATGAAGGGCCCAGTCCCCTTACAAGGAAAGATAATGAAGAAAAGACAATAAATCTTATGGTCATTAAAAAATCTTCCTCTTTAAATTCACTGGGCCAGGAAAGCTGAAACTTATGTGGAAGCATTCTTAGGCAGTGTAGATTCTGAATTGTCATCCCAAGATGCATCATCCATGCAAGTTTGGTCCGGGTAGGGCTTATAGTTACTTGGGAATGGACCTGCTCCAAAAACTTTAATTAACTGGAAAATGTAGGTCAAATCCTGCATCCGAAGCAAGTCTGGTAGTGTCCATCCCTAGATGAATCATCCATGCAAGTTTGGTTCAGGTAGGGCTTATAGTCACTGGGTCAAAAAATAATAGTTTATTTGGAAAGGTATGTCTTAGCAAATGATATGGAAAGTTCGAATACATAAAACCCCTAGTTCCCCTCTTTTTATCATTAAACAGTTATGACAAAGTTTAATGTTTCTGTGACAGACAGATCAACAAACTGTATACTGGATAAACTCTCAGATGAATGAGACTTAAGGTACAATGATACTCTGATAAGAGAGATAACTCTTAATGACACAAATGTCTATTATTCCTTTATAAATTTGTCAAGTTTAAGTGAATTTTTTGTAAAATTTTGCCCGCAAGCCATGCTTTAATTGTTTAAATTTTATTCAACATATACTCTTCCTTTGGAAAATCATAAAAGTTAAAGAAAAATTTCATATGAGTGAGCAGAGGGTTTATGAACCTTAATGTCACCTGACTTTCATGAGAGCACAGCCAAAAAACAGAAAACAGCTTTAAGTATCTTCATCAACTGACAATTCTACTATATTGCACAGTTTCCTTCAAATTAAATCAGAGGCAAAGAAGAGTAGCATTTTACAGAACTTCGAATCAATCTCTTTGTTATAAAACCCAGAGGACAAAAATCAATAAACATATATATAAGTATCTTAGTAAAGTCTATAGTAAACAAAATTGAGATCAAGGTCACAGGAAAGTTCATGGTCAAAAGCTTTTAAGGGGGCCAACTGGAGTTTTATTGGTGAAAACTACAATAGCGAAACTCTTCATTTTTATACCATATATAACTTACATTAACTTCAGTGTACATGCCAAGTTTGGGGGAAATCTTCTGTTCAGGTATTTTTAAGGGACTGTCTCAAAATACATGTACATTTACTATAGGATTATATAGGAAATGCTGATTTTAAGCACTTTAAAGCAATTTATACAAATACTACTGTAACAATAGACTTTTTGTTCAAACTATAATATTTGATGGGTAATACTATATTGTACATTACATGTAAGAAATACGAAATTCTACCACCTTGTTACCAGAGGGGGCATCTCAAAATATAAAAAGTTAACAAAGTTTCCATTTTTTTTCTAGAGTATTACAAAATATGAAGAGCACATAGGATTTGTAAAAACACAAAATAAAAATAATGAAGATATTCTCAAATTTCTATGTTTTAAATTTCAATAGCATATCTTTATTATTTTTTTTTTAATAATATTTTTATTACCCCTTTCTTGAAGAGCTTTAGTTTATCATAGCGTCAAAAACACACAGTAACGATGTCAACCTACCTATAAATTGCAAACTAAATTAAGAAATAGGTTATATTAAATAAATTGTAATTACATCTTTAAACCTAAAATTTCTTAATTTTGTTAAATTTAATTAAGCGAAAGGTTGCTTTAAAACAGATTTTACTATGATTCGCGAAATATTGCACAATGAAAACCAAAGTTTGCTCCCTTTATGCACTAGTATCAGCACTATGAAGTTTAATAAAATTTCTTACATTATTTCTCTAAAATTGAAATAAATGCATATTTAAGTAAAGTGAATTAATTTTTGAGAGGTAGAGACTTCATATTTGGTATGCTTACTCCACTAATTTATTACT